GTGCGTGTTTGCTGCCTCATTCTGTTACTCCTGACATGACGACATGACTGTATTCAGTACACCTACAATGTCGTCGTCGTCATTTGAACTCATGGGTCTCGGGGATCTTCCCCAGTACAAATCAGAGACATCATCCGACTACCCTTCCCAGACTGAATCTCCAACCGTTTTCATGCCTGTCATGCGTCCGCCTACCCCGGCTCCATCGCCACGTCCCATCTCCCCAGCACAAAGTGTCATATCATTCGCCTCCTCACTTGTTCCGCAGATCGAATCGCCTCCTTTCCAAGCCCTTATTGATGAATTTCAGTCTTTAGGATCCATCTCCCGACAAGAATATCTAGTTGCACTCCTCTCGCACTGCACTTCTCGCGAGCTTTTTTTTATATCAACACGTATCGCACCTCTCCTTAAGCGCGACTTTCTCGCAGACCTACCCATAGAGCTTTCTCTCCACATTCTCAGCTTTGTCGATCACCCACGTACGCTTGCGCGCATCGCGTGCGTCTCGCGCAAATGGCACGCTCTCGTGCAAGATGAGCAGGCTTGGCGTGGACTGGCGAGCGCGTACCATTTTGATCCTGCCTTGCATGGCCCATGCGAACCCGATGCGGATGAGGGCGATACAATAGGTGTTACGCATTCGCAGATCCCCAATGTGCTGACGCTCCCCTGCCTGCCTCGCCTTCCACGCGCCCTCCAACAGGCGCAGAGTTCGCAAGCTCTCTTCAAATACGCATGGTCAACCTGTATGTTCCCCGTCTTTCTGTGGTTCTCTTTCCCGAGTACAGCATATTCTAATACCGCCCCACTCGACAGTGGTCAACTGGAAGCGCGGTGGCCGTTGCCTACACGTACACCGCATCCCTGTGCTCGACCCCGATAATGGGGTGGTCACCTCCGTCGCACTCGATGCAGACTGGCTCGTCGCTGGCCTCGCGAATCACCGTATCCACGTATTTTCGACACACACGGGCTCGCTCGTACGCACCCTCGTTGGGCACGAGCTTGGTGTATGGGCTGTCGACCTCGTCTCGCGCGGCGGCGCACTCGATCCCTCTCATCCCCAACCTCCCCTGCACAACGCGAGTGGTTTGGCAGCGAGTGGCGGCGGTATCCCCGAGGTGGTAGATGGGTCCGCCCTACTTTTACACAACCGAGCGCCGGCTGGCGCACAGGTCCTTGATCCACAAGGGCTTGACCATCTCTTATCGCCATCCATGCGCGCCGTATTGGCGCTTGACGCACAGTATCCCCCAACGGTGCATGCCTATGAACAAGAGGACGGTCCTAGTCAGTCAGAAAGCGCATGCAGTGACGTCGCTGGTGCAACGCGCGGATGGGGCCAGCCCGGGGCACTGGTGGTTAGCGGTGGTTGCGACAAAGACGTGCGCGTGTGGGACGTGCGGACTGGGTGCGCCTTTCTTTCCTCTTATCCATTCTCGTCACTGTGATTCTAATCCGCGAACGGGCGTGGGTGGATAGTCTCACACTATACGTCCTTCGTGGACACACCTCGACAGTGCGCTGCCTCAAAGTGATACACAACCGGCCCATTGCGATAAGCGGTTCGCGGGATAGCACGCTGCGCGTGTGGGATGTACAGCGCGGGCGGATGTTACGCATCCTTTCTGGGCACACAGGCAGCGTGCGTTCGCTGGACGTTTGCGGGAATCGTGTCGTAAGTGGAAGCTATGATGGTACTTGCCGGGTATGTCGCACCTTTCCCATATTCTAGCGGGTGTATTTTTAGTGGCGCTGATAAGCGGGCAGCTCTGGGACGTGGACACAGGCGAATGTCTGCAGGTCTTCCGTGGACACTTCAACCAGATATATGCAGTAGCGTTTGACGGCAAGATCATCGCTTCCGGTGGTTTGGACACCACTGTGCGCGTGTGGGACGCACTTACCGGGTACGCCAACAGAAAGGATTTCCCTTTAACTTGGTCCTTAACTCGAGGCCTGCATTTCCAGACACTGCATTGCAATGCTGCAGGGCCATACTGCACTGGTGTGCTCCTTACAATTGACGCCGCACACACTTGTGACTGGCGGGGCAGACGGGCGGGTGCTAGCATTCGCGCTGCCAGACTTACGCATACACACGCGGATCGCAGCTCACGATTCGTCGGTTACGTCGCTGCAGTTTGACGAACAGTTCCTCGTCACGGGCGGGAACGACGGTCGGGTGCGCCTGTTTGATGTCGGCTCCGGCGCGTACGTCCGCGATATCACCGCGCCGAGTGAAACGGTGTGGAAGGTGGTGTTTAGACGGGAGGTGTGCGCGATAATGTGTCGCCGAGCAGGAAAGACAACTGTGGAGATCTGGAGCTTTAGACCTCGAGAGGAGAACAGCGAGCGCTTGCGCATCGCAGTGAGGTGAGACGAGCTGAGCGGAGGCAGTGCACGCGTGTACTGGTTTGAATCAAGCGGATGTGTAGTTGTACTGTATCAGGATTTACATCATTTGAATTTTGATTCCTGCCATCATTGATAGCAGTAATGTTTCAAGTAGAAAATAGGAAAGAGGCTGAGGGCCAATATGGGGATCGGACGCAGGACTTTCGCGTTCAAACTGGCTGAGCTAGTCAGCCAACGGCCCATAGCAAGGTTATTACATAAGCCCTCGGGAGCGAAAAGGCTGATAAGCAGTCGGTACATGGCAGTGGGTGGCGCTGTACAGTACTGCCAGTGATCCACAATCATCCGTGATCGACCGCCAGTACGTAGGGATGAACATTCTCTTCAAAAAGACCACTGGCACAGGAATGGAAGTGAGTGTTTGACTAAAGAAACGAACAATTGTCTATTTCTCAGTTCGTGTTCATGTGCACGACTTCCCGTTACTGTAAGGCTATTATTGATCGAATCTCCGTTATAGCACTCCACCGGAGATTACAACAAGTCATCTGTCCTGTGCAAATGCACTCACGGCACTTTAGAAGGACGTCCTAGTTAATCCGGGTTTGAGCACGTCAAAGTCACCAACCCGGTATATTACCACTATTACGGCAGGCAGAGTTTGATGCGGTGTGATCCGAGTGAAGACAAGACGCAGAAGAGTAATTTCAATAGAAAACGTACAATGGTGGACGTTGCTATCAACCAGGACCACCGGTGCTACTGTATGTTTGTGGACAGTACCGTTTAGAGTCGGAGCGGAACGTTTGTTTTCACTCCTGGATATGGGGGATTGATCACGATGATCGACGCTGGCGCCCTCCTCGGGCGCGCCGTGCAAGTCCCGGGTTTACATATATACTGTGGGAGCTGTGGTGCTGCGGTGGTGATCGAGTCAGTAGGATGCCATGACCATCTTAATACTATCACGTACTGTACTGAGTAGTACCGTGCAAGAAGCCCCGAGCTGGAATGAATAGCAGAAGAGGTCTCGAGACTCGAGCATCGTGAAAGTTGAAACTGATCAAGAAGATAAGGAGTGAATGGGTGGCCGTGCCGAGTCGTCAAGCCGACAGTAACAAAGCGATGCACTCATTACCTAATCCAAGTTCGTCTGAAAACGCGTGACAGGGGCAGAGGGGCAGGACCGAAACAAGAGCCGGATAAATGAGAAGCGGTGAACACTGAACAGTTCATTCTCAACCTTTTTCACCCCCCTTCTAACCCACGTCCCTTCCACTCTTCGATACGATTGCATGTCTGGTTATTCTTCCATATTCTCTGCAGGTCTTCTTGCTACTGCAAGACCGCAAGACCATACCAACTCTGCGGATTATACCACACCCGACTGTTCCATTAACATGGACAGTGATTCCGACACGACACCCACGAAATTCAACGCCGTACCGACTCCCTCTTCTGAAGACGTGATGAACTACTTCGCGCAGCGCGGTCGTGCCTCGAGCAATGCGAGCGCGACGTCCTCGGTCTCGGCGCTCGGCGGTGTTGGTGCTCCCCGTTTGCGACGGCGACGGAGTAGTTTGAGCGTCGCAAATAACGGCCTGAGTGCCGTCAAGAGTCCGCAGCGAAGTGCAGGCATGGCTCTGCAACGCACTGCCCTCATGAGTCCCGGCGGCCGTGCGCGCAGCGGCAGTACAGATATGGGCTCGGTTGATCTGTCGTGTGTTGACGGTGAAGGACACGGGCTAGTTCCAAGCAGAGTTGGCGGTGGACGTTCTCGAAGTGGAAGTACAAGCGGCGCGATGCGGTGAGCAGTAAACGGCCCTTATATTCCACTCTCTTCCGCTGACTTCCCTCTTTTTAGAGCACGCCGTGCACTCCGCAAGCCACCTCCCGTTCCTCCACCAAACGTACCGCTGCCACCGCTCCCTACCACGGTGACTGTGACAGATATTGTACAGCGCCGTCCGCTCATGCATCGCGCGCGAACCTCCGAAAACTTTCCCCCGCTTAATGTCGCTACTCTAAACCTGGATCCAAACTCATCCGCATTTTTCGCGCCTGCCCTTGACTTTACAAACAATTTGAAGGTCATGACTGCCAAGGGCAACAGTACCCCGTCCTCCAGTCCGCTGGCAGAGCTCTCTGCCTTCTGGGGGTCCGGTCCGCGGATGAACGAAAACTGACGATCTGCTTCTCTGTGAGCGGATTGTCTCAAAACGCTTTAAGACAGGCCCTACGTTTATGACATGTTTTCTGGATGCACCGCCGCTCTATTTTTGCTCGAGATTTCTTCGCCTTTTTTCGCCTGCTCAAGTTACCGTATATTTCCACTAATGCTTACTTGCATTATACTGTCCCATTCCGAACCAGTTGCTATGTTCGCCTGGTATTGCGTTCAATTTTTTTTTTGCCCTTTAATGATCCTCATTGATTGAGTACAATCTATTTATAATAATATTCTCGTCATCGAGTAAACTACTTTCTGTTCTGCACAAGTTGTCATGGAACTGCTTTGTTTTGCCTACTTCACTGAATAATGATAATGATCACGTTGATACGTTGCATCCTAACTTACTTTTAGCATGGTGTGTTCACTATTGTGGTGTCAGCGCGCACACCAGGGGTGAAAAAATTTATGTCCCTGAGCGGATTCGAGCCGCTGGCTTCACGGATTTGCACTAACTAAGCCACAACGTGATGATTTAACCACTAATCGACAGGGACTTAACATTGTGTTGTCAAATTGACATATCCATGCAGAAGAGAACCTCTCTCCGATGTCCGTGGCTCCCGTTTCCCAAAACATGAAAAAAGACCTGAGTGCTGTCACTTCAATATTACTGTAATGGCGGTTCCTCACGGTTCGTATCCCTGTTAGGCAATCTGACTTTCCCTACGCACAAGCTGGCGTGACTTGTTGCTCACTCGTTGTAAGGAGCCCTCTACTTCTTTACAACTGGCTTTCACGCACATGCTGTGTGAGAAATGAGAGAGAGTCCCTCAAGGCCTTTTTCGACTTAGGCCAGTTATAGGCATGGCCTGTAATCCACTGACTCGGAGGCATTTCGCGCCGCTACCGCATCATCGCCGTTCATCTGTCCAATGCCGAGATGGCTGTGCTTCTTTTTCAATGACAGGAAGTTGGATTTGTGCGTCCAGAGTGCGAGAATGTCACGGTGAACGTGCGTCTTTCATACGTATTTTACCAACTCCAATCACGACATGCTTGCGCTGCGCGTTAAGGCCGTCGCGACAGATGGCATTTCTTCACCGTCTCCACGTCTCGTTGTATTCCGAGGAGATCCCGCGTAGATACCTTCCCTGAGTTCTAGGCTCTTGGACGGCTATCGTGGCTCAGTAGCGCTCACTGACGGCTGTGGTTATCATTAAGGCTTTCACTACTATCGACTTGCTTGGCTGATTCTGGAAATCGTTCGACGTAAAATCGGCGGGAACCCACGGACGTCTTTCTCTATTTGGCTTGTGTGCTACCTTGGGTGGCACACATCCATTCATGCTGTCATCACCGTGACCGTGAGAGAATTGAGAAGCGAGTTGCGTGAAGAGAGGTATCCCCTGTGCTAGGGTCACGACTTGGAGTTCCTTTCCCCTTTGTTCTCCTTCACCACTATCATCTACTCCTCTTTTCCATCGTGAGTGCCCACCGTCTAAACGAATATGTACAGTGGCAGGGTCAACTAATTGACTTCACATCTCTTGAAACCTACTTTTGCAAGGGCCGATGCGTGAAGTCATTTCTGTACACGTCGGTCAGGCTGGGGTGCAAATCGGCAATGCCTGCTGTAAGCCAGCCCACTAATATACTAATGCTCCGTTGTCGATTCAATAAGTTAATATATGCCGCAGGGGAGCTATACACAGCTGAGCACGGGCTGGGCGTGAGTTCAACAACCTAAAAACCCTTCGCGCACGAGTCTAACGTCCCTTTCGTTGTTCTTAGCCGGATGGCCGTCTTCAGGGCGGAGACAACGTGCGAGGAAATGGTGCCGATGGCTTTAGCACCTTTTTTTCTGAAACGTCGTCGGGGAAATACGTTCCGCGTTCTCTTTACATTGATCTTGAACCCAATGTCATAGACGAAGTCCGAACGGGCAAGTACCGCGAACTCTTCCACCCAGAGACGATGATCACTGGGAAAGAGGACGCTGCGAGCAACTGTGAGTACACACACTCTATGCTTTTACGGTTTGATGGCGTGTGTTTAAACGGATCGATAGATGCGCGAGGTCATTACACTGTCGGCAAGGAGAAGATCGACGTCATTCTTGATAAGGTCCGGCGTCTTGCGGATAACTGCACCGGCCTCCAGGGATTCTTCGTTTTCCATTCCTTTGGTGGCGGCACTGGCTCCGGACTCGGAGCCCTCTTACTGGAACATCTCTCTACTGACTACGGGAAGAAGTCGAAACTGGAGTTCTGCGTGTATCCTGCACCTCAACTCGCCAACTCTGTCGTCGAGCCGTACAACTCTGTGCTGACGACCCACACGACCCTAGAGCATGCCGACTGCTCCTTCATGGTGAAGCGATTGTTGTCATATGAGCTCCGTTTAATGAGCCATTCGTTTCAGGTTGACAACGAAGCAATCTTCGGGATCTGCAAAAAGCACCTCGGGATTTCCCTGCCGACTTTCACCAATTTGAATCGACTGATCGCTCAGGTCGTCTCTTCGATCACTGTTTCTCTTCGCTTTACTGGTTCCCTGAACGTAGATCTGAACGAATTCCAGACGAATCTCGTTCCGTTTGTCTTTTTTTTGTCTTGTCTTCTGATGACCGTTCCTTAACCAGGCTGTTAACCCGCAGCTTTCCCCGTATTCATTTTCCTCTTGCCACGCTTTCACCCATTGTACCTGTGGACCGAGTGCAACACGAGATGAACGATGTTGCCAATATCACTGCCGCCTGTTTCCAGCGCGGCAACCAGATGATCAATTGCGACCCGATGGAGGGGAAGTACAGTACGCCATTTCTTCTTGATCTACGGCAGCTTTAACAGTTGGCCACAGTGGCCTGTGCGTTGCTCTACCGGGGTGATGTCGTCTCCAAGGACGTTAACACTGCGGTTGCCCAGCTGAAGACTCGCCGCACGATCCGGTTCGTTGACTGGTGTCCGACAGGTTTCAAGATCGGTATCTCCAACGAACCACCAGCTCACATCCCCGATGGAGATCTGGCTCGAGTGGTTAGAAGCGTTTGTGTGCTGTCCAATACGACTGCCATCTCTGATGCGTGGACTCGGCTGGATCGTAAATTCGACCTGCTTTACTCTAAGCGGGCTTTTGTACACTGGTATGTTGGCGAGGGAATGGAAGAGGGTGAGTTCTCGGAAGCAAGGGAGGATCTCGCAGCTCTTGAGAAGGATTACGAAGAAGTGGGGGTTGACTCGGCGGATGTGGAAGAGGAGGGAGAGTATTAGGCACATCTTTCGTTTTCTTCCTCTCGTTTCTTCAGCTCAGGCTCTTACCAATCGTTCGGACTGTCACTTTTGTCTCTGCGCACGCATTCAATTACTCCTTAGATCCATTGTAGTGTCGATACGATGCCTATCGCAATTGTAGTATTTGGCCCTGTGCCACTCCATCATTCAGTTTACCGAACTGACGACTATAAGTCCTGCTTGTTATGCCAGACAGACCTTGTGGGCTTGCAGCCAGTAGATAAGGGGTTCACCTCGGTAGCTATCTTGGTGTGGTGAGTATAGCAGATCGCTTGCAATTTACATAGTCCACATTCCTGATAGGTCCCTTTCAGTGGCTTGCTCGTGTACGCGGTCCAGTAGGCTTCAGACTCGTGAGTGCAGGATTCGTCCATCTTGAGGCAGTTTTCTGCGCGGGGCTTATGTAGATGCATGAACTATCTGAAATTTGGAAGTGCTGAATTCTTCGATCGAACGTAACATCGATATCCCCGCCTCCGAGTCGGATATTTCTTAGGCGTTTTTAACATGCTATCAAGCATGCCCGGGTCATGGGGCACTTGTAATTCAATGCCGATGAACAAGTTGAAAGAGACGACAATCCGAAAAGGGGGGGATATCGCACAACTTGAAGAGTGAGCAGACGAAGGGTTTGTCTACGTGGTAAGGCCTGCCAGTGGGCCACATGCCCAAGCACCTGCCTTAGGCAATTCGAGCCTTAGGCTCGAAATTCAAAGTGGGACATTGTGCCTCATGATCATTGGCAACAGCCTCAATTAATAATATGGGTGCCCCAGCACAGGGAGAAATGGGTTGGGTACCGTGATCACGCTTACTGTATTTGACGTTTCCTAAATTGGTATTTGGATCTTATCTTATCTTATCTGCCAAAATTTGCCCACCTGAAGTTGCCAGTTGGTTGTCAGTCACCGCGGCCTTGAAGAGAAGTGATGATTTTGCAGCGCTGCATCCTTCCCGTCCTCAAAACTAGTGCACGATGTGCATTTCCGGGTTTTCGCAGAGTGGCAACCAAGTCGGATTCAAACGCTGTGAGCGCTACCTCACTGGCCTCACCTTCCATTCCTACTTCTCATATGCTTGCTAACGCAGCCTCTGAGACGAACACCACTTTATGACTTTCATATTAAACATGGTGCAAAGATGGTTCCCTTTGCGGGCTATCATATGCCCCTGGTGTATGGCGACGTCGGCCAGGGTTGCGTCCCTTTCAACTTTCCAAATTTAATTTTCTGATATTGTCTATAGTTGCCAACCATCAGTATGTGCGACAAAGCGCTGGTCTCTTTGATGTCGGACATATGGTACAGTCCAAGTAAGCGTTGTCAGTCGTCCCTGTTTCGCCGTTGAACAACGACATGCCTGTCGTCTAGCTTCCGCGGCGCCACAGCGACACAATTCCTGGAATGGTTGACTCCATCGTCGCTTTCGACTCTAGCACCGTACACATCCACCTTATCTGTGTTCCTCAACGAACGCGGCGGCATCATTGATGATACCATGATCACGAAGCACGCGTCAGACGCGTTTTACGTAGTCACCAACGCCGGTCGGCGCGCGGAGGATTTAACTTGGTTCGCGGCACGACTGGCTGAGTGGAACGTCAGCGAGCGCGCGAAAGATGGTCCAGTGGAGCACGAATTATTGGATGAATGGGGGTTACTTGCACTGCAGGGTACGCCACATCTTATATGCGCCCTTTCGGAAGTCAGCCTTGATGACCTCGAAAAACGGACAAACAATAGGTCCTGCTTCAGCTGACCTTTTGCAGGCCTTGACGTCGTACGATTTACGCGCTTTGACTTTCGGGAGAAGCGCATTTGTTCCACTCGAAGGTATTAACGTACACGTCGCACGTGGTGGGTATACCGGTGAGGACGGCTTCGAAGTCAGTCTCCCAATTCATTGGCTCCTGGCCCCAGCCCCTTTGATTTCCCTCCTGACACTCGATTAGATCTCCGTTCCTCCTGCGCAAGCTCCTTTCCTTGCGTCAGCGCTCCTCCGCTCGCCCGTCCAACTCGCCGGTCTTGGCGCACGCGATTCCCTGCGGCTGGAGGCGGGATTATGTCTCTATGGAAACGACCTGGACGAGAACACCACTCCTGTCGAGGCTGGTCTTTCCTGGGTGATCGGAAAAGATCGCCGTGCTTCGGGAGGATTCATGGGCTCGGAGGAGGTTCTGCAACAGCTGAAGAATGGACCGTCAAGGCGGCGCGTGGGATTAATCGTTGAAGATGCCCCTGCTCGTCGTGCGTGATTCTTGGTCA